CTCACATGCCACACAGACGTACTACGTACTGAACACAATTTGACAAGTTCATCAAGTGACACGCAACGCAACATAGCACGCCACACGCAGAAAGTTCCACCAAAAAAGTTCCACGCCCTCTGGTAGCAACTAACAACTCACAACTCACAACTCGGAACTCGCAAGTAACAACTCAGAAGCAATTTCTAAGCATTGAAGATACTTTTAGGTTACCGCTGCTGCGAACAAGGTGAGCTGAGTTGAGCCGCGTTGAGGGTAGGGATTTGGGAATACAAGTCAAGTAAGTCTTAGGAAAAAGAGTAATTACCTATTTGTGTCACGTGCAATTCGCTAAACCTAACGAAAGGAAGCCAACAGCTTTAACTCAAGCAAAAGCCAAAATAAGTGGCTGGCGCCTTCCAAAGAAATACAACTTCCAACTTTCAACGTTCAACGTTCAACGTTTGACTTTCGCGGTTACTATTTTGTTATTTCAAATTCGGAATTAGAAAGTGAAAAGTGTAAAGTGCGATGCGTTACTTAGTATGTGGTATGCGGTATGTGATAAATTTGCCATAGAAGAGTTTTGCTTCACTAGTTTCAAATGCAAATACACTTTGACACAACGTAGTAGCAACGCAGGGTATGTGGATTCGGGGATTCGGGGATTTGTCTTTCACAACTCTGCGGTGTCGCTTGGAAAAATGTACCTACGCGTGTACTTAATCATTTATGCAATTCGCATTTTAATAAAGTGAACTATTTGTGTGTAGTCTTAGGACGTGTTCACACATATAAGCACATTTGTTGTTTATTTGTGTATTTGTGTATTTGTGACGTGTATTGAAGTTTGCTTTCAGTGTGTTTCAGAAGAAAACGTGCCAGATGTTATGCAGAAGCATCAACCCAAAGTAAAAATCACGAGCCATATTCCAGCACGAAGTCGAGCACTCAAGTAACTAACATTCTTACTGAAGCGTTTTGTTAAAGGTTTTCGCACCTATTAAGCCCTACGTGAAAAGCAATCATTTAATAAGAAGTATATAACAAAAATTTTGATGGAAAGCATGGAAAATCTCACCATGATGTGTGTTTTGAACCCACTAAAACTATTTCTAAGGAACAAGTTGAAAAGATTTCTGTCATTAATATATAAGAATAGAGAGGTTCTTTTTTATATAACTAAACTTAAAATCTGTTAAAATGACACTTTGTTTAAAAGAGTCATTACGATGTCCAATAACAGAAATTTCCATCAACAATAGAAAGTTGTTGTCACTTAATTAATAAGTAAAGTAAATATTACGCTTAAGTAAATATTAAACACTAGCGCTCCTTGATGATGAATGTGTATATCTCGTAACCGCTAATACTATGGAGGCAATATTAAATCATAAAAGGATCCAAACATATTTTTTTCAGGAAAAACCTCGACTTGTGCGAAAGCTGATCATGTTCCTTAAAATAGTGCTTTACAATATACTAGCAAAAAGCTATATGGCCTCAAAGTAATGAAGGTTAGCTATATATTCAACATCCAGTTGTTAGTTCTACAATTAGTGGTTTATTCCACAATCAATGTTTAATTCTACAACCAGTGGTTAATTCCACAACCAATGGATAGTTGCACGACCAGTGGTTAGCACTACAACCAATGGTTAATTCGACAACCAGCAGTTAGCTCTACAGCAAATGGTTAGGTTCAAAACCAGTGGTTAGTTCTACAATAAGTGGTTAATTCTACAACCAGTGGTTAGCGCTACAACAAGTGGTTAGTTCCATAACTAGTAGGTTGCTTTCATAACCAGTGGTTAGTTCCACAATATGCTGTAAGTTGTGTTTTAAGCAAACTGGTGGTTGTATCACAAGCAGTTGGTTGTACATCAAGGAGTTGGTTGTACAGTAAGTTGTACAATAAACATTGGATTGTCAAACCAATAGTCGGATTTACAACAAGTGGTTGGCTTGGCAGCACACTGTAGGTTGAATAACAAGAAGTTGATTGTACAACATGAGGTTAAGAGTTTATTTTTAAGGCAACCAATCAATTTTATAAGAAGCAATTAGTTGTGTAAGATGAACTTAGTTATACAACCATCGTTTCGAAATCCATTATACAAAGAGCAGTCAGTTGTACAAAACGTAGTGAAATCTGCAACAAACTAGAAATTGTACAACCACCAGGTGGCTTTAAAACACGGTCTCTGTCCGTCGAGTCTGCATAAGATTTTGTGCAAACTTTTTGGCTTACTCTTTATAAAATTCAATTGGTTCAAGAATTAAAATAATACAATCATCGTTTGTGGTGTGGATGTTGTAATCTAGCACTTGAAAGTGTGAAAGTCGATAATTCAGATGAATCAAGGAACTCAACTGATAAAACAGAAAGTAAAACATGACCTACGATCATAGAAGAGCTCAACGGATATTATTTGTCAAAGTAGAGTGATTTTGTCAATAGTCGTTTCTAACCAATATAATAACAATAAACACATTTTAATTCTATTTAAAATTGTGATATTAAAAAACCAACAAACAGTCAAAATGAAAATTCAAATTCAGATGAAGACTAAAAAATAAATAACTTAAGGGTGTGGTATTGTTTGTCATGATCTGTTTGGCGGAAAACAAGATGAACTGCAAAAACTTCAATTTGATTTCATAGATTAGCACTTAAGCAAAAGAGACGTCACATTATTGCCATCTAGTATGGCATAACGATGCCAAAAAGTTTTTTAAGTCCCAATTTGTGTCGAAAACAATTTACGTCTGTACTCGTATGTACTCGTATGCGAAGGTACATCAATGGAAATCAGTATAAATCGTCGACGTAAGGTTAAACTTCAGCGGTGACGATGTGATTTAATGCCACACATGAAGCCGAATTTACTCGAATTTATTGTAATTGTATGTGTTTGTATCTGTGTAAAAATATAAGTGCATGTGTGAATCTGGCAATTGAGCTGCATATGTAATGCCGATTTAATGTGTATCAGTAAAAAATGTGCTGAATGGCGGATGAAAAATTTAGAGCTCCGCACCGTGCACTGAAATACATAAACGGATGTGACTATAATTCTTAAAAGCAGCTCAGAGAAAGTAAAGAGATTGCCATTGCACCTGCAAATAAGCTACCAGCTTGGAGCCAAAGAAAATTAACTTGCGCCAGTCGTCTAAGTATGAAGGAAAGTGAAGTACTTTCTTCTTCGGGTATTCAATTCATTCATTTCACCTGTGATTAATATGAATACCTTGCAGAGCATGTCTTTAGTTTGGATCTTTCATTAACTGCCACTCAGACTGCTTGAAGTGGCGATTATTCTTATGGACTTAACCTTTTTGAAATGTGCGTATGAAGAATTTTTAACTTATTAAAGAAGTTCGTAGTAAGCTTATATAAGGTGAACTGTTTTAATCCTGTTATATATATGCATTTGTAAAACATCCTTAAGGAACTACCTGAATGTACTTCAGAATACCAAGCATTAAGTTAAGTTTGTTTCAGCAAAAATTTTTACGCATAGATTTAAACGCATCATATTTATGCATATCATAGCCTTTATACTTAAATAATGTTTTAAAATTGCTTTAAAATTAGATAACTTTTCTTAAAGTATATTAAATATGTTAATGTGAATAATTATTTTGTATATATGTAGCATCACCTAGATCATGCTTTTGAAAAACAAATTAAAAAAAGCATTAGAAACGCCGTTATTAAGCATAGCGTAGTACCACGTTCCTACTGCAGCTAATAGTGCATTCACACTGTCTCCTTTAAGCACTTGCGCATTTATATTAATGCTGAAACGTTCACATTAAAATGAGCTCATTTATGCAGCTGATAGAACCTTAATAGGAAATAAATAAAATTCACTTAGAATATATCATACAAAAGAGTTAAATATGTAACTGATATAATAAATCATTTAAATACGTTTTATATATTAATTACATATTTAGTTATTTAAAACCAATATTTCACTCAGTGCTCTTCTTTACAGCTCAGATGCTGTTTGTTTACATATAAAACATATGACACATATATCAACTGGTGATTTCCCTTATGGGAAATTTATTTTGAAGGATTGCATTCGACATTTTTCGCTTTAAATGAGCTGATTTATTTATAATTATCTCATTTATATGAGAGCTCTTTGTATAAGAAACTATCTTCATTAGCAGAGTTAATGGGTAAAGCTGCCTGAATAAAATTGTGGAAACATAGTATAAGCACCTTAAAATTAATGCTTGGGTTTGAGTACCAATTACTAGTTGATCGAACATTACTGTGGCAATTACTTCAAAAATAATGGAGGAAAGAGTAAACATTATTAATACGGAGAAGTTGATAATCTAAATTTCATAGTTCACTGTAAAATAGATAATTACTACTATAGATGCATCGAACTCTATGCAATAAAATCAGAATAAAGCCAAAGATAGCACCGTGCTGCAGGCATTTTTGTACAAATATGTCTAGTGAGTATAAAAAATATTGAACATCTGAAATTTCTCTTTTGTGAATCTTTGTCTTATTTCAATTGTTATGTAAAACTATTGCTGACAAAAGTTTTAACCATTATTGGGCTAACTTCCACCTAATAAGAATTCAATAATCTATTCCAAAGATATGTTTACTTATAATATCTCACCAAGGCATATTTTTGCTTCTGTATAGGCGTTAATTCGTAAATAATGAATCAGGAATGCGAGTCTGTATCTAGACTGATAGGTCATTAATCTCTGCTGCCGCGACAATGATACCGTGGTCACTAGTAAAAGTCAGAGATTCCTTGCACCAACAAAAGCACTCATACACGATGACATTACTGTCGCAAATGGAATTGCATTAATGATTTATATAATAATATTCACCAAAAGCGAAAGGCGATATATATAGCCAATTTTTTGTACTTAAATTAAAAATTTATAAAAAAATACAGAAAATAAAAACAAATTAATCTACGTAAATATTTATTGTATTCGCAATATAAGAATTACAATTATTATCATGTCTGCTCATTAAAGATGTAAGTTCTGCAAGTCAGACACAGGCAAGAGTTTATGCTGTTGTATCTGAATCTGATTCATAGGAATCGGTGCCGGTGTCGGCTTCAGTTGCAATTCTAGAATTGGTAGTAGCGGTATTAATAAGAACATTGAAATCACGAGTTAGGGCATTAAAAGTTGTGTGCCTGCCAGGTGGTGCGACAGAATCAATGCCATTTGTCATTGCTATTTGTATAGAACCGCGTGCACTATTAGCGCGAACCTGATTCGTTAGTACGGGAACCAACCCATATCGTATTCCAGTGTGAGGAACAGATCTGCTCACTAAGAATCAAGAAGTTAAATTACCGACGCTTATATTTTCAAAGATTGTCATTGATTGGAAAATACATACCGTTGCCCCGCACGACGTTATTCGCAGCAGTAACAGGAGGATCAGGATCAATGCCATTTGTTATTGGTGCATCTCCCACACTAACACCATTGGCTGCATTTATAGGAATGCCAACAGCAGAAGTTGATGGAGCAGCATTAGCGCTGGACTCACGAACCGAAACATTTTCTTCATTGCCGGCCGACATCTTTAGTTTTGTGTTCTGGAATGTTTTTTTCAAAACAATTTTAGAATTATTTCGAATAATTAGTTATTGTGTGCACGTTACGACGATTTTACCAACTTCACTTCAAGATAAAGCATTAAGGAATTCTAGAAAGTTCTGTAATATTTTCATATATGATTGACATTCGCTGTCAATATTTGAATTAAAACATTGATAACTAGATGTGGCTGTATACTTATGGAATGACAGAAATACATAAAATTCGTGCCAGCCATATTTTTTTTAATATCTCAATGAATGTTTATTCTGTAAGGCTGTATTGGTCGTACTGTAAGAAACCAGCTGACCCGATTCCGTATTTTTCAAATTAAAATCAAGTAAAGTTAAAGTTAGCTTTAAAACCCTAAATCCTGTTTAAGAAATACTGTTTACACTGAAAGTACAGGAACGCTTTCAAGTAAAAATGAAGTAAAGCGTGCTAACCATTATTTGTTATTGATTTCAATCTAAATTCTGACAGTGGATATATTTTATATATAATGTGTAAAGTATTTATTATTTATTTTATCTGTATGAAAATCTTATCAGTATATACATTTTGCTATATTTCTTTTAATTTTCGTTACATAAAAATTATCTTTTAATTTATTGTGTTTGCCTTTTCATTATTTAAATTCAAATAATCTTTACTTTTGGATCGAAATAAATTCGAAACTATTTTTGCAAACAAATTTCGCGCCTTGACGATGCAAACATTGTTGAATATTCATGTTGAAGTTTTTAACACAAATTATCTGGTTTCGACCTTAAATCTTCATCGCAGAAATTTTGTGCAGTCCGGAATGATAATTCACCCGAATGCATCTCTCACCTTGCCTGATGTTGGGTGCTTTCAGCATCTTTCTGCTTGATTTCTACTACAAGTACGTGCAAGAACAGACCTCTTATGGAAAGCAATGTATTAGACTATTCGTGTCGAAGTTAAAGTAGTGGGAAACTGAGTAGTCAACAGGATTTTGAGGTTATTTACGTGAGCGTAGGGGACATCCTATATAAGCTGATACAAACATTGAAGAATTGTGTTATGTATGTTTGTGTATGAACTATTTGGTGATTAGATTGAACTTTTGGTGTTTGTGTCTTCATGGTTTCTAGCGTTGAGTACACTTTGTCATCACTGACTATATTGCGTACATTCTGTTGGTTACGTTACGTTTTCTACAGTCGCTATGTCTACGACAATTAGTTCAGTCCATAATCGTGATGCAGTTTATAATATTACATCATATTAAGGGAATTGTATCATAAGATATATATTCTTATGATGAAATGTTGTCTATGCAAAAATCAATAAGTTAAAACGTGATTGCTCAAGAGTTCACTCTAATAAATAACATTTATTGATTGATGTAGTGCAATATATGATATTTGTTGTTGATGTCAAATCGTAATGTCAGATGTATTACAATCAATGTTTTGTTGTTTAAAAAGCAAAAAAATTAAAATAAGAATTGTGATTTCACTTAATTTCTTCAAACACTTCCAATTTCGGATTAAATTAAAATGTTGTCCAATTTTTTACAATAATGAGGATTAGCTGATGCTTGTCGAATATCGAAAAGATGATCAGACCTGATGCCTCGACAATTCTTTAACTTGGCGGCCTGGTAACGTTATAACGTAACGTTGACAGAAACTAATACACATAAAATTTGATCACTTTACCGAGGTACCGCATATCTTTATATATTCATAACTTAAAATATTGTTAAGACACTTTGGCATGTCGGAGAGACATTTCAAAACATTTGACTATTATTATCCCCATTCTTTATTAGTGAACCTGACAAACTATTTTGACAATACATATATAAGACAATTCAAATTAATTGCATTTACTTTATGTGCAATACATAAAACCAATAATAATACATATATGTCAACTTTTTAAACTTAAATTAAATGTAAATTAAAACTTTTTGAAAAATTAATCTTATTCAGTCACATTAAACAACAAAATTAAAACTCTTACAATATGTTAATCATGATATGTATTTCGCCTACACTTAAGATAGGCAAAATAGTGAAAAATGTTGACATATGTCTTGTAGAAAGAGTATGTTCAAGCTATTATACTTAATTGACTTTCGGGTTTTTGTCGATCAGCTTAAAGGATTTAGTTGTATTTGCCATACGAAAGATATGCGATATAGGACCGTACAGATTTGGTCGTACAACTTGTCCGACCTCGGCTCCTATTATACATCAACACAGTCGACATTATTTTAAAAACGCCACCAGCAAAAAATACAAATGTTGTTGGCTCATCAAAATCAAAGCAATCGCCGAAGTATCAACAGCGACTGAACAGCAAAATTTTTTAAGTAAAAATAATATTTTTAAATTTAATTTATACATTTATATTTATTTTTATATATTTAGAATTTAGATATAGTTCATTTATAGTTGCAAAGAAATGCACTCCTTGGTGTTGTTTAATTAAATCGTCTGCTAACGATATTACTTGCGAAATGAAACGATGCTTTCGCTTCCATATTTCATATTTCCATATTTTCGTTTCCATCCAATTTGTTGTCCGTACTGCAAATATTGCTGTTACTCATCAAATTCGGTCAAATCTCGCATTTCAACAGACAAGTTGTACGACCACATCCGATGTATAATACACGTTTAAGTCTATGGCCTTTTTCACGATTTATAATCATATTCATAATAAAAATCGAAATTAAAACTAATCCAACAAAGAGCAATGTATCTATATATGGTATTGATTTTAAAACACGTAACAAGAACACAGTGTGCCATAATTGAGATAAATTAACAAACCTCTCTGAGCAATATTTCATAATTAAAACAGCCACAAATCGACAAATATATTATATGATATTATATACTTCTCTGATATATAGATATATATAAAAAGAAATAGCAACCTCTCTTAATGAACGCAGTGTTTTAGTGCCTTCATCATATGTTGCTCATGCTGCCCCGTGATGTGTTGCCTGGTTGATTGACTGGTCCTAAGTGTGCAGCAGACAATGCGAGTGTTTGAAGTAGTTGAGTTCTTGACCAAAGACTAATTTAGTCTTCGGCTATTGGTAATAACGGTGCGTCATTGCAAGGTAAGACTTTTCTAATTACTTGCAATAATAAAAATGCTAGTAACTGAATTTAACTCTTAAGTCTGTAGCGAACATCATGGGTCTTATACTGATAGACTATTTGGTAATGAAAAAATTGTTAACGAATAACAGTTACGGTACCTACCCGCCAACCAGTTCTTATGGTAGTCAAGAACATCATTGATGCTGCCTCTTCAAGTATTAGCAATCCTACTGGTAGTGTTTTGCAGCCAATTGTCTTTCTTTGTAAAATTATACTAATATTAGAGAATCAGTTGGCCCATGTCAGCACCACAGTATTTTGTCTATATGTAAGCTGCAGGTCAGCAACAATAGACAGACATGATTGAAAGAAAAATAATTTTTAATTTAAGTATCAATCAAAATATATAAGTTTTTTACTCGAAAAATAAAAGTCATGTCGTATGTATTTTTTTATTTAACTTTATTAAAATGAGTAACTTTAACAAAACTCATATCTTTAATAATATTTAATATTAATTTAATGAAAATCCTGTCTTTAAGAATTATTTGTCAATTAGATTCTTTTTGAAAACATTTACTTTGGTTTGCGACCTTCGGAATCGTAGAGGACTGACTCATCACTTGCACTGAAAGAATCAGGAAGAGTGCGCATACATCCCCAGTTATCTCTTTGCAATGAAAATATAATTCCGGCTAATGGATATTTTTCGGGTTTTTTCTGATGTATATCAATCAATATGCTCAATACTTCTCTTACTGCTGCCGGACAGTTTTTCGCTAAATCACTCCCTGCCAATATTAAGGTAAGGCATATATAACGCACATTAATCGACGAAGTCTTTGAAATTAGTAATTTGAGGGTATCTACGATGTTCTCAGCTAAAAACAATATGGGCGTATCATCGTCACGCAGCTGCTTGTATAATTCAGTTAAAAATAGGACAGACTCCCGAACTATTTGTTCTTGACGAGTATTTATCTTTGACTTCATAATTTCTTGATGATGCTCAAGTTTAGCATGAAGTAACGAATGAAACATACAATTTTTAATTTTAAACGTATGCAAAAAATAGAATAACTTAGCGCCCATGTAACGAAAACTAGGTGTTTTAATAGATTCTTCGAAAATAATTTCCATTGCTATAGCAATCAGTTCGAAGTTATCTTCGAAGCCCTCGTAAAACGATAGAAAACAAGCAGCGGTTGTATCGAATTGACTAGGATTTTCATTAAGATATGTTACACAAACTTGTAAGTACTCAGCAGATATGTTTCGTAAAAGATATTGAACGGAAGAATTGCGTTTGCTGCCGTGGTAACGTCTTGATTTCACATGAGTAACATAGGAATAATCTCCTGCAGTAACCTGTCTGTATTTTAATAAACGCGCTTGAACAGGACTCATGTTTCGAATGGGCACAATAGTTTTTGGTGGAGGAATGTTTTTCTTATCTTCGTCCAAATGAAGGGAGTGAACTTTTGGAGTAACTACTTCGTATTTTACTAAACGATCCGGAACAGCACTCATATTTTGAGTTCTCACAGTAGTTTTTGGTGGCGGTTTGTCTTTCTTATCTTCGTCCAAATGGTGGGAATGAACTTCTGGAGTAACCTCTTTTTGTTTATATAAACGTGCTTCAACAGAACTCATTTCTTGAATGGGCACAGAAGTTTTTGGTGGAAGTTTGTCTTTACTATCTTCGTCCAAATGGTGGGAATGAACTTCTGGAATAACCTCTTTGTATTTATATAAACGTGCTTGTACAGAACTCATTTCTTGAATGGACCCAGTAGTTTTTGGTGAAGGTGTGTTTTTTTTATCTTCGTCTAAATGATAGGAATGAACTTCTGGAATAACCTCCTTGTATTTATATAAACGATCCTGAACAGGACTCTTGTCTTCAATTGCCATTGTAGTCTTCGGTGAGGTTGTGTTATACTTATCTTCGTCCAAATGACGGGAATGATTTTTTGCAGTAAATATTTCGTATTTTACTAAACGATCCGGAACAGGACTCATATTTTGAGTTGTGACAGTAGTTTTTGGTGCAGGTTTGTCTTTCTTATCTTCGCCCAAATGGTGGAAATGAACTTCTGGAATAACCTCTTTGTGTTTATATAAACGTGCTTGAACAGAACTCATTTCTTGAATGGGCACAGTAGTTTTTGGTGCAGGTGTGTTTTTTTTCTCTTTGTCCAAACGATAGAAATGATCTCTTGGAGTAAACTTTTTGTGTTTACATAAACGAGATTGAACGCCGCTTATGTTTTGAATTGGAACAGTAATTTTTCTTGGTGGTGTCTTTTTCTTATCCTCACCCAAACCATAGGAACGATTTTTTGCAGTAACCTTTTTGTAATTAGTTAAACAACCTTTAACAGAAATCATGTTTTGAGTTCTTTCAGTAGTTTTTGGTGATGTGTTTTTCTTATCTTCGTCCAAATGATGGGAAAGGAATTCTGGAGTAACCTCTTTGTGTTTATATAAACGTGCTTGAACAGAATTCATTTCTTGAAAGGGCACAGTAATTTTTGGTGGAGGTTTGATTTTCTTATCTTCGTCCAAATGATGGGAAAAAAATTCTGGAGTAAACTCTTTGTATTTATATAAACGTGCTTGAACCGAACTCATTTCTTGAATGGGGACAGTAGTTTTTGGTGGAGGTATGTTTTTCTTATCTTCGTCCAAATGATGAGAATGAACATCTGGAGTAACCTCTTTGTATTTATATAGACGAGATTGAACAGGACTCATTTCTTGAATGGGCCCAGTAGTTTTTGGTGAAGGTATGTTTTTCTTATCTTCGTCCAAACAATGAGAATGAACTTCTGGAGTAACCTCTTTGTACTTGTATAGACGTGCTTGAACAGGACTCATGTTTTGAATTGGTACAGTAGTTTTTGGTGGAAGTGTGTTTTTCTTATCTTCGTCTAAATGATAGGAATGAACTTCTGGAATAACCTCCTTGTATTTATATAAACGATCCTGAACAGGACTCTTGTCTTCAATTGCCACTGTAGTTTTCGGTGAGGTTGTGTTATACTTATCTTCGTCCAAATGAAGGGAATGAGTTTTTGCAGTAACTATTTCGTATTTTACTAAACGATCCGGAGCAGGACTCATATTTTGAGTTATCACAGCAGTTTTTGGTGGAGGTGTGTTTTTCTTATCTTCGTCCAAATGATGGGAATGAACTTCTGGAGTAACCTCTTTGTGTTTATATAAACGTGCTTGAACAGCACTCATATTTTGAGTTGTCACAGTAGTTTTTGATGGAGGTGTGGTTTTCTTATCTTTTTCCAAACGATAGAAATGATGTCTTGGAGTAAACTTTTTGTGTTTACATAAACGAGTTTGAACAGAACTCATGTTTTGAACTAGAACCGTAATTTTTGGTGATGGTGTCTTTTTCTTATCTTTATCCAAACCATAGGAACGATTTTTTGCAGTAACCTTTTTGTAATTAGTTAAACAACCTTGAGCAGAAATCATATTTTGAGTTGTCACAGAAGTTTTTGGTGTTGTGTCTTTCTTATCTTTATTCGTACGATATAAGTGATCTTTTGGAGTGAACTTTTTGAATTTATATAAACAAGTCTGAACAGGGCTCGTGTTTTGCATTGGAACAATAGTTTTTGGTGGAGGTTTGTTTTTCTTATCTTCTTCCAAATCATGGGAAAGAACTTCTGGAGTAACCTCTTTGTATTTATATAAACGAGCCTGAACAACACTCATATTTTGAGTTGTCACAGTAGTTTTTGTTGGTGTCTTTTTCTTATCTTCGTCCGAATGATGGGCATGAACTTCTGGAGTAACCTCTTTGTATTTATATAAACGAGCCTGAACAGGGCTCATGTCTTCGACATCCATAGTAGTTTTCGGTGCAGTAGTGTTATACTTATCCTCGTCCAAATGATAGGAATGAACTTCTAGCGCAACCTCTTTGTATTTGTATAAACGAGCCTGAACAGGACTCATGTTTTGAATTGGAACAAACGTTTTTTGTGGATGTGTATTTTTCTTATCGTCACACAAATTATATAAATGATCTTTTGCAGTATCCTTTTTGTAACTATATAAGCGATTTTGAGCAGAATTCACGTTTTGAATTGCCATAGTAGTTTTTGGTGGAGATGGGTTTTTTTTAGCTTCGTCCAAACAATAGAAATGACCTTCTCGATCAACTTCTTTGTATTTAAATAATCGAGCTTGAATGGGACTCATCTTTTGAATTACCATCTTAGTATTTGGTGATGTTTTGTTGTTATCTTCGTCCAAATAATAGGAATGATCTCCTTGAGTGGCCTTTGTGTATGTATAAAAATGAGCTTGAGCAGGGCACATTGTTTGAATTGAGACAGTAGTTTTTGGAGGAGATATGTGTTTCTTATCTATAACCAAACCATAGGAACGATATTTTGGAGTAGCCTTTTTGTATTTAAATAAATGTGCTGGAACTGGACTTATGTTTTGCATTGGCACACCAGTTTTTGGCAGAAGTTTGTTTTTCTTATCTTTACCCAAACCATAGAAGCGATCTTTTGCAGTAATCTTTTTGAATTTAAATAAACGAGCTGGAGTAGGACTCATGATTTAAATTGGCTCAGTAATTTTTTTGTAGAAATGTTTCTTTCTTTCTGCGTTCAACTGACAATTAATTGTGCATTTCGTTTTGCACAGGGTTGATATTTGTATTGAAATTTGACATCACCGTTTTTCAAACCTAAGCATACTTGTTATGAATTCACAAAAAATTTAACAATATTAATATATGCATTTTATTTATTAAAAGTCAGTTGACTGTTATTCCCAGCTGTCGCGATTTTTTAGTTGCTAATTTGTTTGAGAAATGTTCGTCCTTATAATGTTATCAAACACCAACAAGGCAATTAACCCTGTGAGAAGTGAAGTTCAAATTTCTAACAGATGAATACTATATGCGTCGTTTTTTCCATTAAACAGAAACTTCCGTAATTGTAATTGTCTCGGTATCTATATAAAAAGATATAGGCGCTATTCTGATTACCCTACTAGAACTCGAAAACGGCTATTAGAAGAATTAGATATTTTGAAAAACTTTTTTTACTTTGCTATATGCCGACATAGCTTACTTATCCAAACATCGAGGCTAAAAATTTTAAATTTTGTACCTTGAATACATTAATAAAAAAAATCAATATACGCCATCTATCGCCGACTTGTTTACGCAATTTTCACGTTGATTACTAGATATTTATAGTTTTCATGTAAAAATAAAAAAACTTTAAAGTCTTATATTTTGAAAACTAAGCTATATTCAAATATTGCCTAGTGGAAGAAGTCGTTCAAAAGAATAATCTTCACAACAAACCATTCTCAAATGGATCGAAAAATCGAAATTATGGCAGAAAAATTATGTAGGCGTGTATTATATTGAAATTCTTCTTTATTTTGCGTACATTTTTACAAATATTTACGAACATATTACGTTTCATTTTATTTGAAATGTTGATATTTTTTTGAAAATAAATACAAATTGTCTTTTATAGCGCTTTCACACTGTCTCATTTTGGCGGTTCTCATTATACCCACTAATGATGATTTACCACACAAAGTGCATTCATATAAATGAACTCATTATCAATAAATCAGCTCATTTAAGGCAAAAAATGTCGAATGCAACCCTAAAAAAATAATTTCGCCCAAGGGAAATCACCAACATTTGAAGTATGTATCATGTTTTACAAGTTAAATATATTCAAACAACAGCTGAGCTGTAAATAAAGACACTGTTGTTTTAATATATTTAGATTAAGATTTATTAATTATTATATATATCTGAATTGAAGTATATCTATTATTACCTACATATTATTAAATTTATTTGAAATATTAAATCTTTTTCACGAGCTACTCGTAGCAACTTTGAGTAACACTGTGTATACGCCATCGCATTCCACCAGCAAATTTTTGAGTAAGTTAGAGCATCAGAGAAAGCGTAACATCCCTGTCGAAATTTGAAAATACTACACAGCCTTTACTCGTACATTTTATTTCAAGCAAAATTTGTGTTGATGAGTGAATCAGCTGTTTTGATTAGAATTTAAATTTTAGTATTGTTTTTTGAGCGTCACTGGTATTCTCACCAGATTTTACACAAAGCTGTTCCATGAAAATCTGTATAAAGAGCGTAATTTGACACCTTAGATATATTACGCTCTATGTTTGTACTTTACTTGTGTTTTACTGGAGTTTTACTACGAGTATGTCGTGGAACAGACTTAATATATATATACATATAGTAATAAATATATAGGTATTGTTATAAATATTCTTACATAAAGTTTTGCAAAAATGTTTGCGATAAGGCAAATATTTAACATATGTTACTGAAATCTATATATATAAAATATATTTAATATTTGCGTTATCGTAGACATTTTTGCCAGGCTTAAACTTTCTTCTCTAAAAAGTTTTGATATTCAAAACTAAGAAATTATATGTACTCATTTTTTTATGGGTACTAGAATTGACTATTGTATATTTCTTTAATTAAGTTAGTATTTCTAATTTTTTATTTCGCTTTTCTATCTAAATGCTTTTGCAGCAACTAACCGCCAAATGGTCTTTCTATATAAGCAAAATTAATTGCAGCAGTTGTATAGAAAAAGGAAGATATCGTTCGGCTTAGTGTGATTTTTGTCAGTCGAGTGTTTCCCATTAACGCTTTTAAATGGCTGCTAAAGTAATAAACGTTTCCACCAATGTTACGTCCATTGACTCCATCAGAAACGTAACCACCAGTGCATAAATGGAATGAGTTTATAACAATTGCGGCAACGAGTTTCCATTCCTGTCGACATGTGCGATCCAGCTTCTGGTTGGTTTAGTTTCAATTGCGGTTTAGTGAAAGTTTCATATAGGAGCATTTTTCTTCTTGCACCAGCAAGTGAACATGTCCAAGTGTGGACAGATGAGATGTAAGCCAACATGTGCAATGTGTGTGCAATTTGTGCATTCGGGTTTGATATTTTCATTTCGACCCTAGACGCCGCGCCGTGCCGCGTCGCGCCGTGATTGAACAACACCATTGCCGACCAATATAACTAACAAGACATGGTTGCTTTCGTGAACCGTTTCGCTTGGTTAAGAGTTTGTTTAGTTGGAAGATTTGAGACCAACACGGATCTAATTGTTGTATATTTTGGTATCTGACAACGTGTGGAAAAAAGTGGTGTGCGTATGTGTGCATCTATTTCGGTGATACGTTTCTGCTAAATCATTGACTGCAAATCAATTTAGTTTTCAATTTGGAACGTGTGTGCAGGTGCATCTAAATGCCTGTGTTGTCATTCTGCGAATGATTTTCTCGTGTAAAATCTGCTTCAGCCTCATATTCTGGTAAGCTTTGGACTCGTTGGCAAATGAGTCCACTTTGGTTTATAGTTTCATATTAAAAAAGTATTTCACAAAAAAAAGATTGCACTATGAAACCTTAAATTGATAAATGGTTTGAAAAATAGTTTTAAAAAAAAACTACAATACTTGTAGATGTAAGTTATCTTCAAAATACCAAACATGATAACCTGTTTTGAACTGAATGTGTATTTCACTTACTTTTAAGAGAAATCTAGATAAACATATATTAAATCCAAATACAGCTCAGGAGATGATTTAGAACAATTTGTTCTGAGAGCAGATACATTTACATTAAGAAGATAGAAACGAACACATATTCTACTTGATGTATACATATTATTAATAACCTCAACATTATAATTTCATATGTTTTGCAGGAGATGCTCATTTCTAAAATTAATTAGTTTGAATATTTACGTGTAACTTTGCCATCATTACAGCTATCTAGATTATTCCGTAGGATGAAGTCATTTATTAGGAGATTACTTCTCAGTTTCTGTACATCCATTGTACATCCATTGCGGCAGATACTTTGCGAGAAAAACTGATATATAAGGATGCTATCATTATTCGTTGCAGGAGTTCTTTATAATTGGCTTAGTGTAAGTTCCGCAGAATAAGACATTCTAATAAATATATTACAATTTGAAATACTTTAAAAGGAAGTTGCAAAGTAAATCTGATATATGCGTACTGCATACTCCTGTGGCTTCGACTTCGACAATTATATACTTTTATCTTCCGAAACACAATAACTAAAATCTTAAAATTATTTCAGATATAATAATAGTCTCAATAGATGAATATTATAGTAAAATTTACGCCATTAGGATATCAACATAAGAATTTTGGTAATTTCGTTAGTTTTGTTACTGTCAAACGCGTGTGATTACGGTTGTTGGTGTAAACTGGACTTAACGAACATATCACTTTCACTAACTAACTTTTCCTGTAGTGTGCGTTTTGTATTTATTTTGGTTGCGAAGCCGTTTGTGATAGTAGCGTGTATGGCTCTGCTATCTAGTATTCTACCCCGTTTCACATCAGATCAGATCCCTATGGAACACTTATCGGTTATGCGAATCTGACCTGTCCTTTAAATAACGTATTGTTGAACCTTTCTAAAATACTTTTTTAACCTTATGCTGCTAAGAAATTGTCTTTTAAATAACCTGTCCTTTAAATAACGTATTGTTGAACCTTTCTAAAATACTTTTTTAACCTTATGCTGCTAAGAAATTGTTGAATAATGCCGGATACGCAACTTATATTCATCTGGCTTATATTCATCTCGTTTTCCCATTTTAACAAGAATAAATGGTAGTGACCTTAATGGGCTAGTGGAGTCATTGACCCGTTTGTAATATCGTCGAAAAACTACAGTCAACAGAGAGCTATTCTGCCTTGAGTAATATATTTTTTGAATAAAATATGACAACGGATTTTAATAGAGGCAGCTGTTTTAAAAACTGTTTTTATTATGCTGTATAACAATATTGTATATATTAGTTTAAAAAAAATTTCTGCACATACTGGTTGAGGCGAGTTCTAGCCTCTGTAATTTATATTAGTAGTGTGATTAAAGTAAAAAGCTTACAGCTTAAAGATTTGATATCTTGATCTGTAAGCTTTATTGGCGTTAAGTTTGTAGAGTCGTTGGTTTAAGTTGCTTAAAGTTGCTTAAGTCTGTTAGAATCTGCTGTAAGATGGGCATGGGTAAAAAATCAAACTCCCGCCAATTTTTGTTCCAAAATTAATGGCAATAATGTACCAAAATATTGTAAAATATTGAATACATTTACTTATTCCATAATGTCACGTAAGATAACTTTCTCGCCTGTACAGATACATCGGAGACATTGGACCACTTTGGAACAAACGTTCACAGTGTTTTTGTCGATATACAGCCATAAGCCCATAGATGGTTAAACATTGAACTTTATATACCATTTTATTCGAGCCAGTAACGGCGCAAAATGACTCAAAGTTATATTCCTATTATATTTAAATTAATCGCACACAATTATTTATTCAATAAAGCCAATTTTATGGACATAACCACGGTTTCAATAAACTTGATGTTGCTGTTATTGATCCCTATATATAATATTTGATCTTATGTTTTCTTTTAGTTGCATTTATCCTTATTCCTCAAATATGCATCATATATTTCACCAAAAAAAGAAAGAAGAAAAGAAAACGTTTATTTTCCTCTAGAAGGTTTTTAATATATGGAATGATGTTTATTTTGCTATAATTTATAGACCAAGGACCACACCAAGATTAGTTGCTTCTACTCAAGAAATGTGTTAAGTTATATGCACACGATTACTTTGGCTACAAATTACGATAGTTGAATATTGATATAAAATTTA